AGTTTTTCAAGCTTCTGTGTTCACTACTGCTCTGGAATGTTTCAAAGAAGTGAACAATACATGCTTCCTTATGCTTTATATAATTTCTTTAGAAGTAACCCCACCTGGGGCACCTGGGTGGCTCAGAAGATTAAGTGTCCACCTCTTGATTCTGGCTCAGGTCAGAATCTCTCCGTTTGTGACTTTGAGCCCCACTCAGGGCTCTGCACTGACAGTGAGGAGCCTGCTTGGGATTCCTTCTCCCTCCCTCTCTCTGCCCCTCCCTCCCTCCCTCCCTCTCTCTCTCAAGAATGAATGGATGGATGAATGAATGAACATTAAAAAAAAAAAAAAACCAACAAAAACTAACCCAACCTCTTGGCCAGAAGATCAAAAAGACTGCAGCAGAAGACACTGATACAGAAGAAACATTAAAATAAGGTAAAAGAAGACCCAAAGGCTGAAAGGAGTTAGTGGGCAGGAGGATACACCTAGGTTAAAGACCGATCCAGGCCACCCCTGTACATCCCTGTACAGGCCACCCCAGTACATCCCAAGAGTACTTTCTTGGTCTTGAAGTGTCATAGCAATAACAACAAAAAAAGCGTTATTATATTTAAAGCAAAATTCATTATCAAACATGGAAACTTTATATCAAATGCCAACTATACAATTCAAAAAAAGCAACAAAACAATGAATTTTTACAAAACAGCAATTCAGGGACTCTACCTCTCATGGACTATTTCCAGAAGAGAAACTGTAACATTAGAATGCATACTTGACTAATATATACATATGATCTATAGTATATATATGACAAACTATATATTACATACAACATATATGACAAGTGATATTACTAACATAGAAAATAGAAATCATTAAATTACTAACATAGAAAATGTAAGTCATTAAATTAGCAAAGAGTCAAACACATGGAAAAAGTCACGGGGTGGAAGTAGCCTCCAGAGGTCATCAAAGCATCTTCCTTTTAAAACACCACACGTTGGTTAACTCCCAGATCCAAGAAAAGCAATGATTCTGCCATCACACTTGATGGAAGAGAATTTCTGTTTTGGCTTTTGGGAAGTGGGGATACTGGGAGACAGGACATTCTAGAATTTTCCTTAAGTTCCATTCCCAACATAGTCAGTGATTGTGCTAACGTCTACAAATGCACTTTGGTAATTTACGTCAGCAGCTCTATTCACCGTCAATATCACTGGCAAAAGAAGAATATTACGAAGTTTCATTTTCTACCCAAATCAGTTGATCACTTGCTTTTCTGGTGATACATGTCCTACCAACAGTTTATGATCTTGTCAAAGTTTATGTAATAACAAGATCAGGATTTTCAATTCTACATCTAATCTCTAGGTCAAGCTACCTTTACTCATCAAATCAAAGTGAAATTCCAAAAGAAAACGTGAGGAGTACTACTTTTCTTTTCAGAACACAAAAAAGCCTATTTTATAAAGACAAAGATTGTCATGTTGACACCAGTTTAACACAAACACTGCTTAACTGTCACCCAAAAGCTGAGATTTTTCTTGTTTCAGGTTATAGTTTTCACTATTTTGAAATCGTAAAGTTACTGCGACTTTATAGAAATCCACTGTAGAATAAGGATTATGTAATTGTAAATAAAAGTTAAATTTCAGAAGTATTAAGGTATGTAACAATGAAACATTCGAAATGCGATCTGCTACTTAAGACAAACTTTAATTCTGTTTAAACATAAGATGAAATGTGCAACTCAGACTAAATCAGTGTATAGTAAAAACCAATAGTGTATATATAGACAATGAAGGTATCATGGAAACTGGTTAAAAATTATAATGAAGAGAGAACTAGTAAGAATATAGCAACCTGGCTGAAATTGATATTCATTAGGGTACTCGTCACATCAATAGGGAGCATTTGGACTCTGTGGTCTTTATCAGTGTCCCAGCTGGTAATGGTTGAAGGTTAATGCCTTACCCCATTCTGTTCAATTTTCTATCCTAATTAGCCCTCCAAATCTATAGCTGTGAGCACCAAGTGTCTGTGCTCAAAAGAAACTAATTAATGCTAGCAAATTAGATCAAGTCCAAAGATCCAACAGCCAAACTCTTAGTTAAATGCTCCTTGTTAATAGGAAGTGTAGCTGTCAATAACTGCTGTTGGTGACTATAATGAGGCATCTTTCTTTCATTGAAAGTGATTTCATTTCTCTTTGTCCCTGGAAAAGCTGTTCCATTCCCTTCACAAACCTAAGTTGCTGGCAGTCTGACCCAATTCTTATGATCAGCTGGGTTGAAATGACATGCAAAAAAAATCAAACAGAAAAGCTTTCATACATAATCAGGTTTCAGGCACTTAGCAGAAAGTCAGATCACTTATTAAAATTCCTATATTTTTATCCAAGAACTATACAATTAGCACACATAATGCTTTTATATAAAATCCTATAAGTATTTAATAAAGCAAAGGCCGTAAACAGTAAATAAACTACAAGGGAAGTGTCCTGATTCTAAATTACATCTTATTGTTCAGTTCAAATGCAGCTGTTCTGCTACTACTTAAGCATATGATACAGTGTGTTCTTTACTAAATCACATGGTTAGGCAGGAAGAATACTAAAGATTATTGTTTATAAAATAATCAGTTTTAGATTCTCTAACTCTGTTTTGGACCACATGGCCTAAAAAAAAAAAAAATCAATATACGATTATCTATAAAATATTCAAATATTCAAAAACCAATAGTTAAAACATGTTCTCATAGAGACAAATGCATTGAGGTAACCCAAGCAGACCTCAAATTTTAAGATGCTTTCAGTCTTCTGAAGATTTTAAGCATATTTAAAAAAAACAAAAGCTTAACCAAGGCAATGCCTGAAAAACTTAACTTTTGATAAAGAAGTGATGAATCACTAAATTCTACACCTGAAACCAATTTTACCATATCTGTAAACTAGAATCTAAATATTTAAAAAGTGAAGAGTAAAAATTTTTCTGTAGCATTATGATAGTAGTTGTGCAACACAAACTAATAAATATTTTAAACTTATACTCTCTTTCCTTCATTTCAAAAACCAAACACACAGTTACATTGACTAAGAGTAAGCAAAGGCAGTTCTGAAACCCAAACTCTAATTATTCTGCATTTTCATCTGAACCATGTGAGTAAAACCTCAATCTATAATTGAATTAGCTAGGTTTATTTCATTCTAGATATCAGAGTAATGTGTTAAAAACACCATAAATATAGCTCATATTCATCACTTTGGACCAATTATCAGTAATGAGTAAATTTTCCTAGTAGTGACAAGTTAACCCTGTAACTTCATTACACGTTGTAAATTTTTTTCCTCCCTCACCTGAGTCAGGATATTTAGTTAGTTATTTTTTAAGTTCTGAGGCAAGTGGAGGATTACCTCTTGAGATGATCAGCATGACACCTGCCAATGCCAGCGTGGCACCAAACCCTGTCTGCAGGTGGCAATGGGTTAATTTCTCCTGACACCTGGGGGTGTGGGTGGAAGGGAGGTGCTCTGATTAAACAACTAATTCATGGTGAAAGCAAAGCTAGTATCGCAGAATGATACTATCAACTTATTGATAATATACTTATTTATGGATGGATTTAATTTAAATCTAATTTATGAATGGCTCTCAAACTGGAATAGGTCATAGGAAGTCATTTAAGAAACAGAAATGATCATCACACAAGGTCCGCTCTGAGAAATTACTCTTTCACTGCTCCCATCGATTCCAAAGGTCATTCTCAAAGAAGAAGGGCATCAAAGGGACAGAAATGTTCCCAGCATCCACACGTTGTTGACACAGTCCCGAAACACAGTTGACAGAGCCTGGCTCTCCTGTCGAGAAACTTGCTATGGAACTGCAGCCCATCGTCCTCACAAAGAATCACTCAGGTCCCTCAAGGAGGAAGAGACTACAGGGAAAAGTGGCTCCGCAGCTAGAAAAACAGTCTACATCAGCAGAACTTTGCTACTTCTTTTATTTATTTTTTTTTAATTTTTTTTTTAAGTGTTTATTTATTTTTGAGACAGAGAGAGACAGAATGCAAGTAGGGGAGGGGCAGAGAGAGAGGGAGTCACAGAATCCGAAACAGGCTCCAGGCTCTGAGCGGTCAGCACAGAGCCCGACGCGGGGCTCGAACTCACAGACTGTGAGATCATGACCTGAGCCGAAGTCGGACGCTCAACCGACTGAGCCACCCAGGCGCCCCTGGCTACTTCTTTTAGATGGCCATTCCATGAGGTAGAATTTCTTAAAAGGGCATTTCTGCAGTAATACTGCGTCTGCTTTTCTAATTACCCACCATTTGTGGTCTCATTTTTCACCTTCTGCTGCTCCGTTTACATTTTTTCACTAAATGTTATATATTAATCAACAATTAGCTCTAGATTTATAGAATACAGGAATAATTCACGTTAAGAAACATTTTCCGAAGAAACTATGTGCGTGTGGGTGCCTAGTGCATGCATTTACAGAAATAGCTTTCACTCGGAGATGTAAAATACAGAGAAGTAAAAATAAAACCAAAAACAAAAAAACCCGGCCTCATTGTAAGTACTACCGGGATTCCATTAACAATTCAATAATAGACAATGACCTCAAAGAAAATCATCTTAGAATATATATGTCTGTGTGAATACGTTGATGAAGAAAAAACAGGTACAAGTTACATCTGATGTTTCTTCTTTCCCTATCAAAATCACCAGAATAACTTGTTTCTCTAAAATACTCATACCAAGTTTTTCTCTACGTACAACTGTACTTCTGGGAAAAAAATATTTTTTCTTAGTAATTTGGGAGAATATTTTTAAATTGTAAATGAATTCAACACCGTCTGGAAGTTCTGAAAGCTGAAATATTGGTATCTCAGTGAAAGGGTGAGAAACAATTCATACATATTAATTCATTGACTATTTGACTCTAAGGCTAAGGATTAAATTCAGATCATATTATAAAAAATGTATTTGATCTTTATATGAATATTTGAATCTTACCTTGAACTTGTTCAGAACATCTCTCTCGGGCTTTCTCTCTCATTATTTTAGGGATCAAAACATCCTTTTCGACATGTCTGAGATGCTGCTCTGGAAAAAAAAAAAGATCTTTCTTTAATATAGTGAAGTTTCAATTAAATCACCAGTTTAGGGAAGAAATAAGCACTCTGGTTTATTCAAAATAAAAGCCTATACAAACATACTAAAAACTGACTCTTAAAACCTCATAAAATTGTGGCTATTTTCGTCACTAAAAATCATTCTAAATATTTCTTATACACAACAGAAAAAAATGTGGGACATAGACAGTGTCTTTCTAAAAATTTCTGCAAGCTATATTGTAACACTTTATTTGATAACATATTCCACGCAATCTTGTCAAAATTAAAGTCATAAACTAAAACAGTATAATTTTGCTTTTTAATACAATCCACAAAAAGAGAATTTTTATCAATAGTGAGATCCAAGGATAGATGAAGAGATCCAAGATTAAGAGACTCTCAACCTGGTAATAAGAGTAGCCTAAGAAACAAAGAACCGTCAGAAGAAGAAAAAGTAGAACTACATGTGCACATAAAAACAGCATGTGAGATTTCGTGCATTTTAAACAAAACCACCACAATTAGACTAAAATGGTAGACAGAATACCTGCTTCAGGGTCCTACCAGTGTCTTAAATTCATAGAGAGTCCTGAAAAATAAAAGCTACTCCGATGTAGCTTGGGCCGGTGTCGTCAGAAAAATCAAAATGATCAGGAATCTCTTTGAAAGACAAAAGGTAGATGAGATCAGATTAAAGGAGGTAATCATATACCCACAGGTTTTTCCGAGGGAAAAAAACTGATGCCAAAAGTAGGTACTGCTCCATGCACCGAAGCAGCAAACATGGGCAGCAAGAGACTTCCCTGAAGAAAACCAAAGCATAATCGGTTGAAATACCTCAGTAGGAGCAAATGGATCACCTCTTCTGCTGCCTCCAGACCCATGGGTAAAAGAAGTAAATACATGTATCTATCCCCAAAGGGTCAGAAAATTTCCCAGTATCTAGCGACACCTAGGAAGACCAGGAACCCCTCCACTTTCCCTGGTACTATGCGATTCCTAACAATCTCTGGATGCAGGCAGCTACGAACTGATAGAGAATCTGCAGACAGTGTAAAAGGGCATGTCAAAAAGCAAACAAAATCAACAATAAAACAGCCGAGGATCACCTAAATTTGATGGACAACACAGTGAAAGGGAGAAACCAACTGTAATGAATCAATAAGAATCCAAATCTTGAGAAGAGAGTAAAAAAAGAAAAAAGATTTTAGGGTAAGTAAATATACTGAGGTAAATAAACAGATGTGAGTCCTCAGACAGAAATGGATCAGAGATTACCTACGTGCACTTTGAAATGTCTGAAGCTCAAAAATCCGAAAAGCTTCAAAAGGGAGAAAACACTACCCTCACCGTGGAATGAGCATCAGATTTACATCATGTTTCACTGGCAAGCCATGGATGCATGAAGACAACGGAGAAGTAACCTCAAAGTTCTGAGAGTGCATTATTTTATAACCAAGAATCCCCAAACCAATTAAGAATGAAGTTCAGGTATGAAGGGACTGAAACATTTACCTCTCGCATACCCTACTGAAAAGAAGGGTATTGTTGTCTGATAAGCCACCAATCAAACATAGTGGTATAAAACAAACATTTTGTTATAGAGAGAGATCCTACAGGTTAGTAATTTGGAAAGGAAAAGCAGAACTGACTCACTCTGCCTCACAGTATCTGGGACCTCATCTAGGAAGAGTCAAATGACTGGTATTGACTTCAACAGCTGCAAAAGCTGAGTCTGGAAGACCTACTTCGAAGAGGACCTCTTTCTTCACTTGTGTATTTGACATTTGGGCTGAACTGGCTGACGAACAGGCCCAGTGAGGACTGTAAACTACAGCACCTACACAAGGCCTCTCCATTCGGTTTGGCTTGGCACAGTAACAGGTAGGTCAGGAGAGGTAGGAATGTGAAAAGGAATTGTCTAGAGAGTAAGTGTTTCAGGAAAACCAAGTGAAAGCTGTAGGTTTAACCTTTCTGACCCTGTGACAGAAGCCATGAAGCATCATTATCATTTCTACGGTAGGTACTACATTGATCGGGTCGCCAAGGACAGGCTATACCCAAGCACAGGGAAATTAGGTCGCCATTCTTTCTTGCAAGGCCACATTACAGAAGAGCATGAGGAATGCAAGATAATGTTGTGACCTTTTTTTTTTAATTGTGTTTTTTTTTAAGTCTGTATATTTTGAGAGAGAGAGAAAGAGGGAGAGAGAGGAGAAGGAGCGCAAGCGAGCACAGGACGGGGGCAGAGAGAGAGAATTCCAAGCAGGCTCTGCATTGTCCGTGCAGAGCCTGATGCAGGGCACAAACCCACAAACCACGAGATTAGAGATTATGACCTGAAGTTGGACACTTAACCAACTGAGCCACCCAAGCGCCCAATGTTGTGACCTTGGTAAAACAAAATCTGCCACAAGTAGTAAGAGAGAATATCCTCAGGTAAAATAAAAATGAACTCATGATGCACGAATGTAATATAAAACATGAATTTAAATTTATATGTTAAAACTACAAAGTATCTGAACCATATCATCAATTAATTTGACCCATTTATAGAATATTCCACTTAATAAGAGCTGAATATTAACCAAGATAAACCATAGTCTAGACCATGAAAAATATCTCAATAAATTAAAAGAATTCAAGTCCTACAAAGTATGTTCCCCGACACCAACGTAATTAAGTTAGAAATCAGTAACAGGAGGATGTCTGAATAATCTCCAAATATTTGGAAACCAAGTAACACACTTTAAAAATTTTTTTTAATGTTTATTTATTTTTGAGAGAGAGAGAGACAGAGCATGAGTGGGGGACGGAGAGAGAGAGAGAGGGAGACACAGAATCCAAAGCGGGCTCCGGGCTCTGAGCTGTCAGCACAGAGCCCTACACAGCACTCACACTCACTAATTGCAAGGTCACAACCTGAGCCAAAGTCAGACGGTCAGCTGACTGAGCCACCCAGGCGCTCCCTCCACCGCCAAATAACACACTTTTAAATAACCCATGCAGCTAAGAAGCAATCAAAAGGGAAATAAACTATTCTGAAATAAATGAAAGTGAAAATATATCATAATTTGTGTAAGACAGTTAAAACAGTACTGAGAGGAAAATCTGTAGCACTACAAGTCTACATTGGAAAAGAAGAATGGTCTTAAATCAACGACTTAAGCTTCCACCTTGAGAAACCAGAAAAAGAACAAACTAAACACAAAGCAAACAAAAGAAAATAAATAATAAAGATCAAAGCCAAAACAAATAAAATAGAAAATAAACAAAATGATACAGAAGAGCAATGAAACCAAAGCTGGTGCTTTGAGAAGATTATTAAAACTGATAAACCACTAGCCAAGAAAAGACAGCTATCACAAACATTAAAAATGACACACATTTTGGGGGCGCTTGGGTGGCTCAGTCGGTTGAGCATCTGACTCTCGATTTTGGCTCAGGTCATGATCTCATGGTCCGTGGGATCGAGCCCCATGTCAGGCTCTGCATTGACACTGTGGAGCCCGCTTGGGATTCTCTCTCTCCCCGTCTCTCGGCCCCTCCCCCACTTGCATGTGCACAGGAGCAGGCTCTCTCTCTTGAAATAAACTCTAAAACAATGATTTTTAAATGATAATGTACTCAAATAATCTTTAAATGTAAGCCAATAAAATTAACAGCACAAACAACCAAAGCTAACTCAAGAAGACATAGATAGAGAACCACTCCAGCCCTGTATCTATTAAAAAAAATGAATCAGGCCGTCTGGGTGGTTCAGCAACTTAAGCATCGGATTCTTGGTTTTAGCTCAGGTCATGATCTCACAGTTCATGGGTTCAAGCCCTGCGTTTGAATTTTATCCTGAGGAAAATGGTTAGATGCTACAAATTTTTAGGCAAGGAAAACCTTCTTTCATTTTCACTATGCTGACAGTGCAGAGCCTACTTGGATTTTTCTCTCCCACTCTCTCTCTCTCTGCCCCTCCCAGGCTTGCTCTTTCTCCCTCTCTCTTTCAATAAATAAACAAATAAACATTAAAAAAAAAAAAAAAAGGAAATTGAATCTGTAGTTAAAAGCCTTCTCCCCAAAAATAATTCCAGACATAGATAGCTGCACATGAATTTGACCAAACATTTAAAAAAGAAATAATACCAATTCCATACACTCTTAAAAAAATTGCTGAGGCCAGCATTATCCGGATACCAAAACCAGGCAAAGACATTAAAGAAATCTATAATATCCCATCATAAGCATAGATGTAAAAATCTTAAAAAAAAAAAAAAAAAGAGTGGCAATTTAAAATCCAATAGTATATAAAAGGATAATACTTCATGACTAAATGAAGTCTATTCCAGGACTGCAAGACTGACTTAACATTCAAAAATTGATAAATGTAATTCATCAGATTAAAAAGCTAAAAAAGGAAAAACATACGGTTATCACAACAGACACATAACATACATCTGACAAAAATCTAACATCCATTCCTAATAAAATCTCTCAGTAAAGTAGCAACAGAAGGAAACTTCCTGAACATGATAAATAACATCTGCAGAAAAAAACCCACTTGCAGATGTTTTCCCCCTAAGATATGGAACAAGATAAAGAAGTCTGCTCTTGCCACTTCTACTCAGCACTATACTTGACATTCTAGACAGTCTAATAGAGTAAGAAAAATAAAAGATCATCTATCTAGAAAATCCAATAGAGTCTACAAAAAAGCTATAGAACTAATAAGGTTTCCAGATATAAGATTAATATACAAAATTCCAATGGAGATGACAAAATAAAATAAAGCTTTTTAAAAAATGAGCTAAATAAGGCTCAGGGACCTGCAGGACAAAGAATAAAAGAAATTAAAAAAAAAAAAAGTCTATCACTTATTTTACCAGAGTCTGAGAAAAAAACAAAAAAGAATGCAGAGCTAAAAAAATACTTGAAAAAATAATGGCTGAAACCTTTCCAAATGAGGCAAAAGAGGGGTGCCTGATGGCAGATTAAGCA